ACTATTCTCTGTCTATCCCGTATAATTATTTATTCTCCTGCAGCTCCTCCATGCATTCCCGCCCGCTCTTTCCTGATTCTGTCGCTCTTCGTGCTTTCCTTTTTCGGTCTGGACCATTGTCGCGCTGACTCATCCGTCACCCGTCTAGCTGGAACACACGGTCCTTCCCGAGATCCTCCCCGGCTTCTCCCGCATCTAGAACGACTAGAGAATCCCCAGTGTCGTTGACATCCACTTCTGTCACTCCACCACTGGCCTCTAAGCTCCAAACCAAAAGAACGAGGAGAATCCGGGGATTCTGATGCTCCACTTTTCCTCAATCGCCCGTTTTTGTCCATTCGAATCCATTCCCAAGTCCGTTAACTCCCGTGGTTGCGGTCGATCATACACGCGTGGCCTGATTGTGGTGCTGCTTAGATGCTATCAGGCCAGATTACTATGGCCTCGTTGTACTTTCTTTGACCCACATACCCACAAGAGCGGTTGCCTCGATCAGGTCGATTCTCGTTGCCGATTTTGCAATAGCCTGCCCTCCCAAGCCAATGCTGCCCATCTTTTCAACTCTGCGTGCAATATCGAACGTCGCAGCTTCTATCCCATATGCTCCCATCGGCCGCTTGCACGATATTCGAAACCGACCAATAAGGACTTATGTGGGGTTCCTGGAATCCGCGTTGAACTCAGGCCCAGCTAGCAGGGGATATGTGGTGCCCGCACACGTCAAGAGAGTACGCCTATAGGAAGATAAACACCTCGATCATAAGGGAGACGGACCGTCATGTTCTCTGGAAGCTTCCCCTACAATACAGACTACCCCAATGCTTGTTGGCCGGAGACACTCGCTTATGAGGTGCTCCCAGTTGAACCACAGGCTGCTGTTCGATTTGCGGTACAAAAACTGGCCTAGTCTCAAGCTAACAGTTTGGTAACCAGATAAAGTATTCCCGTTCAGTAAGGGACACACCAATGGAAGAAGCGGCCAGTCCCTTGGCGATCTTCGAAGTAACGACTACCTCAATGCAATGTCACACCAACGATCGTCCAGTGGCGACGACTCTTACGGTCCTGGTTTGCATCCAAAGAACGCATAAACAAGGCACGGTATTGTATTGTTATGCACAAACGAATCCAAGGCGAACGGTCGTCGCACACAACATATACCGGGCATACTATCGCTCGAAAATGCTCTGGTGTGCTTGATGTTCGGCACTCCATACCGCAACTCCGAGCATGTAGTACAATTGTCTCACGTACAACATATCTGACTTGTCAGTCGGCGATCCAACTAGGAGCATCTGCAGTTGTATCTGTACAACCACAAGCCACCTCGGCGGTCATTGGGTACCCATCTTTATGTCTTGTCCGGACACAATGCCGAACCCTATCCCTGCTGTTTGTCCGATTTCAGTGGCTTACGTGCATATTTTGGTGGGTCATAGAGGGGAGCTTATGCGAGAAGGTTGTATAATGCAAGGAGCAAGCATGAAGCGCTATGCAGACTGTATAATTGCGTATATTGTTCGACTTTCGTGGAAACTTTGGTCCGGTCTAGTACCTTCCAGCAGCAACTAATCTGCATACAGTAACAATAGCGACCTCTATGGTCATAGTTCACCTTTTATTGCAGAAGTATATGTGGAACGCATATATAGACATCTCCTTGAATTTGTGATGCACTGAGTGACCGACAGCAATCATTCCACACCATGATACGCGGGTCTATCCAGGAGACACTCTCATTCCGGATGGCCCATATCCTTCTCAGCTCCAACAACTCATTCTTACTACTAAATATCTGAATACAAAAGGACTCATTCTATAATCATCACCTATACAGTACTCAATATAACAATAAACTTAATCCGGTCAGGAATAGGAAGAGGGTTTATATCTTTTGAAAATTACTATCATTCCACTTTCGAATAATAGATATTGTCTATCATGGGACCAATACATGTTAATGTCTTTCTACCTACCATTTCATATTCTCAAATTATCAATTGATTTCCCCATGAGCATGGTACATCAAATGAGACCTCCATCTCTTCATTTTCCGAGGCTTTTCTCCTCCGCCATGGAGTTTGTAACAAAGATATATTTAGATATCTTGTTAGTCCTGTCTAGTTGCCTCATCAAAACATCAAACAATAAGAGAAACTAGAATGTGGTTCCTTTGGGGTAAGTTTTCTACTAGAATCGTCAGTTGACTCCACTAATATCAGGAACTACTAATATATATACTAGACAGTATATATTGTACGCAACATTAGTTGAAGGCACGGCCTCACTACGAAGGCGAAGTTACGTTGTATACTATACTATCATATACATATATACATATATATATATATATACTCTTCTAAGTATCATTAATGATCATACCAGCCGTCGAATATTGACCAGCTGACCTTTCGACACAGACACGCCGTATATCGTGTAGACATACGCTGATATGCCAGGACAGACTACCGCCCTGACGAAGCCTCACGGTATGGATAGAAAGTCGGGAACACTTGATAATGCGTTAATATGTTTTTTGGTAGTCGGGAGCCCAGCATGTCTGAACTTCGAGGAATGATACTTAGTTAATGTGATATGAGTAGTCATGAATATCTTACTTATTTCTCACAATATATGGTACTATCGAGGTATTTGTATATTCAGATAGCATCTTGATGCTAATGTATATAGTAGGGAGATCATTATATCAAACTTAGGAGATTAGCTAATTTGAATTAAAATGTTATCTTTCTTTTGCAATTTCCCTGCGTCCCTATATGTAAGATTAACACTCCTACTGAGTCCTGGAAATCGATGATAGTACTAGAAATATATTGAATACTGATAAAACCCTGTTGTATATATAGCGAGCCACTCGGGTTGATGAGTGGGCTCTTAAATACCATAGATTTACATAAATATATCATCGATATATAAACACTAAAGTCAGACCAATCTAGTAAAAGTTCGTGACCTAAACCTATGACTGTTGCATACTCTGGTCCTGTGCAGGAGCACAATGAATACCATCTGTGAATATAGGCCTACTAGTACCACCAAGTACATCTATCTAGTTGATCAGATATGGGGATAAATAGACACATACCAGTAAACAGAATGTAACTGATAACTGCGTTTCTACACACTTAGTAAGTAGTTACCGTTACGCTGCTGTTGCAATGTGATGCCATACAAATATATAGAGTTGAGGGTGATAGTAGATACTAGGATATCTTACCTCAACCTTCACCTACTATTTCCCCTACTATATTACTACACAATTTCATGTCCACTGTGTTTGAAAACAACTGTCACACTACAAACAGTCATAACAGTCATAGTATCAAATTAAAGCTGCCCAACCCAACTTTGTCCAGCCCAGCTCAGCACAAACCAGGTAAGCTACGCATCAACCACGATTAAGACGGACTGTCCGTCTATGATATATATATAATGATAATACTAAGTTCAGAAGAATTGATTTAATAAGAAAACAAGTTTATAAGTAGACACTTACCTACTGCCTATTCATCCATTTTACTACATGGTATGCTGCAGCCAATAACCAGATGCAACTCATCATCATCCAGCGACAACGAACAAAGAATGTATGCCTTACCAAAGCTGGTCAAAGCTACATGCTTACTTTATCTACTAGCTTAGCTTACCTAGCTAGCTAGCCAGCTACCTGGCATCCATACATAGCCTTACTTTGTATACAGTATTACCGGCTGACACTGCCATCGAATCATATCCATTAGTCAATAGTTCTATGTAACTCAGGCATCACCGCTCAACCCATTCCAATATTGTCAATGAGAATAGGTAGTGATAAAAGTAAAGAAGTAGTGATGATGATGATACCATGTGAGGTGGACATAACCAACCGCCAGACATACATTATCCGTAACTACTCAAGGCAGACATCAACATACCCACCCACAAGGAGAAGTGAGGGAACGAGTCAATAAGCACATATATGTTACTCTTATTATGGGTGCAGTGGTCTACTGTTGGTCCTGTGAGGCTAGTCTGTCAGGCAGCCGTTTCTCAAGTTTCTGGCATTGCTTTTCGTCGTTGGTTGTTTGCTTTTTTCTGCTTTCTGATACTTTTTCTATCACGAGGTAGTACTCGTCTCTCGAGTTGGCTCTTAGCGTTGAGAAAGTTTCATGTACCCTATGTACATATGTTAGTATGAAAATGCCGTGTTGAACTTGGTTAAGACTGACTAAGAGGGCCGTGAGGTCTCACAGATCTGTGTAAGTAAGTTATATGCAAACCTGAAAGTGAGTGAATGTGTATAATCCAGACTTCCAAGGTTTAGGGTAAATTAAACACTCATCGATATCATTATCGAGACCAAGTTAGCCGAGGAACAAGTCAACTAACTAACTCTCTGCCCTGTCCTGTTCTACAAGCTTGAACTAACTAATTATACGCATAAGTAATCCGAGCACATGGTCTAGAAGTGAACAAGCGTGGAAAGAGAGACCAAGGCACTGATTGGTATAAACGTTCAACAGCCAGCGTGTCCAGGACTAACTACTTTTTGACTCCAAGCCAGACAAGCAGCCAGCTGATATAGTTAACAACCGGCTGAGCCCAATTCATCTCTAAGTTGCAGGAATGGGGGAAAAGGTGCCCACAGACGCGGTCAGCATCTCAGAAAGCGACGATCGCAGTATCTAATACACCCAGCAAAAGGTGTGATCAATTTAGGTCATTTACTTGAGGGATGGTGGTTGGTAAACTAAAAAATTAATGACTCCTTATGATAAACGTTCGCATGGGGGTCATGGATGGATGCGATGGGTATTTCCGGGTTGGGTTAAGAACACACCCCTCCCTCGAGTATGTAGAGCAGTCGCAGCAGTCGCGGTGGTATTGACATTGAGTGTGGGTAGAGAAGAGGAGGGGAGGGGGTGGGAAGAATCCAGATCATACTGAGACCGGTATATAGTCTTTCTGTTAGTGGCAGGGGTGAGAGATCGGAATACGTACTATCTATCTTGTTCCATGAACCCGGGGCAAGAAATTTGGTACTTTTACTACGCTACCAAGTTGGTAAAAGTTGTCGGTGGCTCAGTGTCCCTCCCGGCTTGTTTTCTTCTTGCGTGAAGCGGAGACTGCTGCCACGGAGAGTAAAAAGAGTGGATGATTTCGCAGAAGTAACTCTACTTAGATAGAAGTAACGAAGGACGGACGTTGGTGAACGGTATGCTGTGCTAGGGATGTGTGGTTCCAGGGTGGATGAAGGTCTGATGGTGAGACGAGTTTCGTAAGGGAGGATTGACTCCAACAGAAAAGATCGATACATCATTTCCTTAATTTTAGGAGATGTTCGTTCAGCTGGCGTAGTGTAAGTTGGGGGGAAAGAAGGGTGTGTCTCCATGGAGGGTTTCTCAGGTGGTACTGTAGCATACGGTATAGATACTCTTCCCAAGGCAAGGTCGTAAAGTAAGACCCGACAGAAACGAGGCTTGCCACTTAAAGTAGCACGATTATTGGTGAACAAAATTCTACGACCTCGATTTAGTCCGGCGGGGAAGGTTTCAGGCCGTACATACGTAGTCCCCAACTTCCGATACTTCCCCATAATGGTATCCGATCCAGACAATCTTCTGTGAAGCATAGGAGCGAGGCAAGAGTGCGAACAAAACCCGAATGAGGAACCTTGACGGGGCGATGAACCCTAGCTGAGTTCAGGCTCCAGTGGCTACGACGGATGCATCTGGTGCACATACCGCCAAAGCCTCCGTAAATAATGTTGACTTCGTGAACGTGATGGATCTCGAGAAAAAGACGGCCTCCACCGCGAGAGGCAAACGGTGATATCAAGGTTCTGCTGAGCTAGCCATCTGTCGAATGGTCATCGCTGAGCTTATTGCTAATCATCAACTACGGTCGCGTAGCGGCAAGTCGACCAGCAGACGATAAGCCGCGTGCTTCCTGAGCAGCCTCGGCTTGACCAATCCAGTATGCCGCCTCCCCAATCTTTGAGGAGCTCTACTTGGTAGTATGCTCATCATCATCATCGTCACCTTCATCACGATTACGAAATCCGGGATTCTGAAGGAATAAGGGTTGTTTTGCAGGCGGCTTGTAAATCAGACCACCGGATGCGTTCCCCTGGTTCCTCAAAAGTTGCAATCTACAATGTAGTCTATGCCTCGCATCGAAAGTCAGACTGACGATGGCGGCATTCGAACCTTCACGTTGACTTTGGGCCGTGGTCGATGGTGGCTCAACATGAGCAAGGATTGTTGGTCTCGTCTCATACTGAACCGGAGCAACCGCTGCCTGTCCAACGGCGCCTTCAAGGGAGAACGAAGGGATATCGAGTCTCGACTACGACGAGGTCCTTGGTTTTGAAGAGCACGTAGCAGTCAAGCCTGTCGGTCGCCAGCAGTAAGCTTGCACACATGCCTGGCTTAGACGAAAGCTTAAGCTGCAGTATCAGCTCGCACGGTGGTTGCGATGTATCATGCTTATCCTCCCCATGAGGATTGTTTGTTTACCCTCCACAATGTTAGCTGTTTAGAAAGTATCGAGCCGCAAGGATGAGTAGATGCAAGGAGCCTGGAAGGGCAGCAAGGTGGGAAGGGACGGGCCCGAAAAATCCGAATTATAGACTTGTCCTTGCGTACGCCCTTTTATCCTGACACAGTCCGGTGATGCGATCACTCGTGGACACATTGAAGGTGCAAGGTGATGAAAACTGGGGATGGGAAGGAATGACAACCCACGGGCTAGAGCGGCACCATCCAGGCAACTTGCGTGATAAGAAAATCTCCGAGGAGTTTCGTTATCCGACCAGTCCACCTAGTGATAGGCCAAGCCAGTTCATGCAATATACTAAGTCGATTCGAGTCATGAAGGAAGACTGGATTAGTCCCGACCACAGGCGCGGCATAGTTATCTAACCATCCTTATTAATGAGGGCGAGATGCTGGGTAATCCGGGATGTTTCCTGCAATCAATTTGCAAGTCGGGGCCGCGCGGTACAAGAACGAGTAACCATTATTACTGTCGACCCCATTGGTAATGTTCGACAGTGTCGATCTGTTTCTTTTCGTAGGCATCCTAGTACTATCTTTCGACTTTCCGACAACACACCGCGAGATGCTAATCAAGGCTCATCTTCGCCCAATGATTGTGTGGCCGAGGAGGGGATCCCGGAAAGTTAGAAGAGACCCCCCCATACACAACGAAGACTCACCACCGGTGGGTTAATGAGGATCACGAACAATGAACCTCGGATGAACAGGGTAAATGTACATCGATGCATTCTTGCTGGTGTTGTACTAGCTAGGCTGCACTCTGTGTAATTAAGTATGACCACTTGGAGCCGTCATCATCCTCGTCATTGATGACCAGATACCTTCTCGATCAGGAAGGCCGATGGGTTTCCAAGGCGGTTCAGGATCGAAGGAATTTGGTTGCGGCCTCTGCACGAATGAACGTGCATAGTCTGTCGGGAAACGGAACCACCGTCCAGGGTATCACAGGAATGACTAGAATAGTTCAAGAGGGAGAGACTGAGAGAGGGGGTAGAGAAAAAAAAAAGAGGATTACTTCAATCATCATATTGAATAATGATAATGTGATTAATAGGGATGATCTAGATCAGCGGAAGTGGTGGAAGCGGTTAGTTCCACATTCGAACTGGATGATGCTGAGACACCCTGGTTAGGTAGTGACAAAGTCACATCGTCTAGAGCGCCGGGTAAAGGTAGTAAGTACTTGTAAGTACTTGCTGGCAACAGGCGACCAGGAAGGTTCCTTGGCACTTAGTGAATACCAGCAGCAGTAGCTGCTTCTGCTGCTTTAGTGCTGTTCGGATTGCAGAAGCGACATCCGTAGCAAGTACTAGTTAGTTAGCTACTCTGGTGTTGTGATGATTAATTCTGGCGGTGACCACCTCGGTTTCTCTACCGCAACCGGACATTGGATGTACACTCGAATATAGCAAGGTAGTAGTAGTATAAGTGGGTGGACATGTGCCATGGCAAGGAAGCCTTTATTCGTTGGCTCATCATCATCAAGGCACTTTGACTTGCGACTATACGATGCGTTATGGCTAATACGTAGCACTAATGACCATAGGCCTGAGAGCTTCCTTTTTTTTTCATTTTCTGCGCTCTTCTCGCGTCTCATCGGCAGATGACAGCACCTGTAAAAGTGGATATCATTGGTCCAGATATCTGGTTGAGATGAATGTTCGGCCTAATGACAAGATTAGTTGCAAGAAGGGGCAGGAAATCCATTGAACCCAAAATGGCCAGTCAGGGAGATGATTTTGTTCGAGACAAGATTCGACAGGCGCCAAGGCAAGGACAATCAGCAGAAAAAAGGAACATAACGAAAAAGTAAATAATAAAGGAAAAATGAAATTGAATGTAAAAGAATTACTGTTCCGAAAAGGAAAAAAGCTTAAGCTGGTGGTGATCGGTGTCTGGAGTGTTGTTTGGAAGACAACGACTTCCCAACTCTGGCATATTACTGTTTGGCTTACGAAGGGACTATACTTGAGCAGCAGCTCCATAGTCATCGACTATTTCCCAGCAATGACCAAGAAGTTCAGTGGATACTGTGAACAGTGAACACAGGAGTCTGGAAGTCCAAGTCCACAAGTTTACCCGAGTTATGTCAGATCCTCCAAGAGCAGCGTATAACTAACTATGGGGCTTCATTGAAGGCTGGAGAGTTTTTCTTTTACCCAGTATGGCCTCACTTCTCAAGTTTCGATCGCCGCGTCAACCACCCCCGTTTGTTCGTTTAGCACAATTAGTTGCCTGTGCCCGTCGCTGCGCCCGAGTGCTCGGGTGACAAAACGACCCAAGGATTCCCACCAGCCCCAGTTTTCGCATCTGGATTCTGGATGCCGGATGGACCTTGAAGGTTTGAGACTGAAAAAGCGAAGGGGGCCGGAGTCATCTTCATTAGTGAGTAAGTTAAGGTCGGGGTTGGTGGACTAATCGAGGATGGGATGGAGAGATGGGAGAGACAGTCAGTATCTTCGTACAAAAGTAGTCTAGTTACTCTTTTTTTTGCACTGATCAAATCCAAGTGGAGCGTGCGTGCCACTTATTTCCCAGCTCAGAAATAGCCACGACCAATTCCAACACCGTCATCCAGCCCATCATCACCTTTTTCTGCCGGAAGTTCTGGAACACCAAAAACCCACTCTGTTTATTTGTTACACCGTATCGCGCTTGAGTCGTGATGACCCAGAAAGCCAGGCTGCAAAAATAAAGGAACACAGACCAAGAGCATGTACACTCCGACGCTCTGATTCGATGGTTCACCCATCTTTTCCCCCCTTCTTCCCCTCCATCTCAAATGAATAGCCCGCGATTATCCAGACTTTTAACTAGTGACTGTGATACCAATTGGAATGCAGAGCGGCATACTTTCATATGCAAGTGCAGAGAGGCGTCCATGCATTCGTTGAGGTTTCCTATGGAGCTATCACTACCTACGGTGCTTTCTTATGGCGACGCGGACTTGACCGACTATTTTCGGAAAAGAAGGTTGAAGAAGGAACCTAGAAAACCCACCCCGAAAAGGCAGTAAAAATGCAACAAGCGCCAAAGGGAAAAGATCAGGGGTTCTACACAACATGCTACTATTAAAGTGACTACTTACTATTTGGGATTATTCCGAATCTCCATACGAGACCCAAACAGCACCCTATTGTAGATACTACTCCACATACACCGCGACTAGACGTTATCAGTCCTTCACTCTTTCATTATCGGCATTGAGTGGCGTGCAGTTTGCAGTTGCTTTTTTCCTTTTCTTTCCAAATCTTCGCCAATTTTCACCTGCATTGGTCTGAGTCGTCATCAAGTTCTCATCCAACCTATGGAGCATCATCTGATTCCGCCCGCAAATTCATCTGCGGTCGATCCCCAGTTGGCATTGTCGTGGTGGATTTAGAGATGATGGTGAAATGATGTGACTGGGGACAACTAACCGCTCTGCTTGCAGGTATCAATGGGAAATACGAATCAACCAAACTATTCATCAGCTCCCGATCGGTAGCAGATGGAGCGCTGTCAAAAGTCTCGCTCATCATTATATTATTGAAGTATGGAACGCAGTCGATATGATTCGGTAAAATTATAGCCACAAGTATGGACGAGCTCCGCAACAATGCCAATCAATCCATAATCCCAGGCGGATTTCGCCCGACGAAGCACTACCATTGCCCGGGCCTTTTGATCATATTGTGGTGCCAACCATTAATTACGCACGAATCCTTCCTTTGCAAGGCATATATCAAGCCCCCTCTGCAGGGTACCTATGGATAGTAGCCGATGGCCACCGTATTGTCAAGTAAATCTGGTACACAGTAGTACTCTGGGACTGATGATCAGATCAAAGTCCGTCCAAGACACCCCCAACCAACCATCGTGTTTCTCCAATCTAGACAGGGATTCACGTCCCATTAATTCCAACAAAAAGGAAATGCGCCTGTTGCCATTTCCCTTTTTGTCACGTTTCCTAAGACGAGATTGTCATACTACTCGGGACACATTCGGTTCTTTTCCCTCTGAATCTCGGCGGATGGAGATTGGAGAGGCCTGGTTTCTGCTCGTTTCCTTTCCAGTCCCAGTCTTTCCAAGGGGCGGCGGGGGTTGATCATTAGCCGCACTTGGATGGCCGAGCGAATGAGAGAGGCCTTTGGAGCCTGCTGGCTGGACTGGATGCGCATCCATCAATCAATCAACTCAGTTGATCTGCTCCTGTGGCCTTGCACTCTCTCAACGCCATGCTTGAACTATCAGATTTGGATTTGGATTACTCTTCCCCCCTCCCCTGAACTTTAGTAGTACGTGCATGGGGTGTGTGGATAATGGAGAAAGGGTAAAAGGGAAAAAAGGACACTACTACGGGCAGTCTAAGGACAGGGAGGGAAGTCCTCCGACGGTGCAGCACCTGCTAAGGAACTAACTAGAGTCACTACTTCACACAGGGAGAGGTAACGATCGTTACGCTAGCGACAAACGATATGGATGGTCATTCCCCAACCTGTTCGGGTTCGAGGTAAAGAATAGGAAAGCCTCCGTGATTTGACTCTTTGATAATCGTCGTGCACAAGGCTACTAGCTAGCTAAAGTTCGAGGGCCATCGGTCGACAATCAGACCCCGAAGTCAGCTCGCCGCCCCGAACGCAGAAAACGAGACGCGTCCGGAAGTGGCCCAAGATGAGACACAGATTAATACTCAGCCGCCAACTATTACTGATCATCGGGCGGTACGAGGTATATGAAATCATAATCAATGTCAATAATACTACTAATTATACTCGAAGCGCGTGTCGGGCAGGAATGATTCGAAGCAATGGCGCGTTTCCGCGACCCATGGCCAGCCAACAAGTCGGACGAAGGAAGAGAGGGCTCTTGTCCTGGTCGCCACTAGTAGTTCCATAATCACCCCATGATGGTCCCAACCATAATACTGCTAGCACTTCTCCATGTCGGACTCCATCCTGTCTTCGCCCCGAGCATCCCACTCTGGTCTCTGCAGACTTCGTACCATTTGCGGAACATGATATTGATTGACGCAACTTGCAAGAAAAATTCACTAAAGTGTGTGATCGGAAGTGCGACCGGCCGGTGTTACAAGGGACTTTTCTCCTTTTTCATTCTTCCCCTTGTTTGCATCGAGCCATGGTATGGCAAGTCTTCATCAGTGAGTAAAAGTAAGTACATAGTAGTTTGGCACTACTCGGCAGTGGTAGTGTAATTATTTTTTAAATACTTCATTCTGCTCTCCTGGCCTGGAGACCACCAAAGGAGGGCCTTAGCTTCCTTCACCCAATGCTAGGGGACCCTGGAGTGGTAAGATGGATTGGTGTGAATGTTGTCTTGGATCAAGCGACGCACCCCCCTCCATTGTTAGTTTCAGGACTACTGCCGCGGATATCTGCGCAAATGTGGGTGATATCAAACCATGGATGATAGGGTTCCTCCTTTCGGCAAAAGTCAATGACAATAATAAAGGACGTACACGAGCAGCTGACAGGATGTACAGAAAAGAAAAGAAAGCCAAATCAACAGCCGCCTGCGCCTGCATGGGTCCTTGGCCAAGTGGGTGGGTTCTCATTTTTTTTTTTTTTTACACTTTTGTATTTTGGGTTTATTTTATTTTATTTTATTTTTTGGCCTGCCGGGAATGACCAGCAAGCGGCGCCCTATCATCTCGAAACCGAGTCATCGCAGTGGCTGCAAACCGGTGGCGGAAACAACGAATGGGCCAGATCGGATTTCATTGCTGGAGACTTAAGTTACTACGGTAAAAGGGAGTACTTTTCTGGGCTCGTAGAAGGACACAGAAACGGTGCGCCCAATTTCATGGATCGGTCCATACACGGAACATTACGGCCGGGCGGAGTATGACGGCAGAGAAGGGGGTAGAGGAACCTGGAAAAGGCGCAGGCGAGAGTTGGTGGTGCACTCTCGCGGATTGGACGGGTGGTGTCTGCATGTGGATATTTACTACAACCTTCTGGTAAAAGTGGTCATGACTCTCACTAGAATACTACCACCACCACTACGACGACGGACTACTCACCTCATCCATCGCCCGGGGGGGCGGTGGATAAGGTATGGTATGTTACTATGTGGCACTGTCCGCAGCAAGTGAGTCGCAGGAGACTTCGGGTTGGCCCCGCGGTCATCCACCATTACCTATTCATTATTCCATTACAACTATCGCATATGCCCGCTAGTACTAACTGGAAGGATCTTTGGGAAAAGAGAACAGGCCCGGCAGTCAACAAGTCAAGTCACAAGGGGGGGCGCGTCGTCTTGCTTCTGGTGGTGCCGAGCCCAACTTAGTGGTACCTAGCGAGTGGCTCCCTTCTCAGTCTCAGCTGCCCTCCGGCTCTCTGCCTAAGGTACGGGGGGGTTGTGTGTGTGTGGGTGGGTGGCTTCTTGAGCACCTTGTTCTCCAGTTCTCCAGGCTCAAACCATTCAGAGTGGAAAGGCTCAGGCCCACAGCGATTGGCTGTGTGTTTACAGATCGATGGAGCCCGGCCATTTTGCTTCTTCTCCGATGATTGGTCTCTTAGTTCATTACGCCTTTCTGGATCGTTGTGTGCAGCTTATCCATCCAATTCTCGTACTCACACATGCCTTACATGCCTACATGATGGATACGCAACATTTTGCCTTGGCCCCCTCATTACACAGCGAGTGGATAAACGGCCAGACTAACATATCATCCTATTCTAAAGTTTTCCCAAAATTGTCCAAAATGGACCGGGTAGTTAGTGGTGATGACGGGCGTGTGTGATGCGTGTGTGTGTGTGTGTGTGTGCCCACGACGGAGAAACACTATATCGGTAATACCGATACGTCGGAGCAACTCTTACCTGTCTGGGTCAGAGGGGTTAATCCACTTCGAGTTTAGTTGCAACCAGACTGCCCAACCACTCAGTCTGTTCTCATACCTCCCAATCTATTCGGACCCGTTCCATACTTGACACGGGCGAGGTAAGTAAAGTGAGTGAGTGAGACTGGTGCGAGTGTTGTTTTGTAAGGAAGTACGTACTACGTACGTCTGGCACATAACTTACTTCATTTTGCCCATGACAACCCGAGCCACCCACAGCTGAACCCGGTACCAGACTTCCTTTGCAGAGTAACTATCCTTGCCATCACTACCTCACTAGGTAAGCACCGCCTTGCCAGCAACTGAACGTTTGACTTTTTTCTGCGTTTTGCCTGGCGCCTTACTAAGTAAGTGACTGACCACCTCGCGGATTCTCCAGTCTCCAATCTAAGCAAGCCTCGCCGTAGTGACCACCAACCTCCAGTACCAACCACGGACTAACTAGAACTGTTTTAGCCACCGTGACCCTCTTACGGCTGCCGTACGCAGCGATCCATAATTCCATGCCCCCCGCCTGCCTCTCTCCTCTTTGCTTTGCCCTCCCCTCCCTTTTCCTGCCTGTCCCCAGCTCAAGTTGCTGCGCACTTTAATGAGGTGAAGGGGGCACGCTAACGCTTTTCGGGAAGGATGCCGTATGAATTGTTTGATTATTACGCAGCAACCAGAAGGCAGTGTTCGATTCCGTACCGAAAGTTTTCATTCCTTTGCCTTCCGCCTGGTTGAACTAGAACTGGCGATCAACCACATTCAGAGTGCACAAACCTCCCTTCGTCCACTCTCTCTCCCGTGCCTCCCGGGGGCTGCTGAGCAATGCCCACCCCTTCTCCCTTGGTGTAAGATATCTTTACCTTTTTCCGTTTCCTAATTCTTCCTTCCTATTTCATTTCATCATCATCATTATTTTTTTTTCTTCGGGGGTGGGTTTCTTATTTTGTGTTTGGTTTATTTGATGTTCCATGAGAAATACATTTTCACTTCTGCCTATTTATTAAATTTAATTTCTTTTACGATCGGTGCTTTTTGCTATAGTGATAGTAGTAGTAGTTGTAAGGACCTCTTCTTGTGGCTTTCAGGATGATTACTGCATCTTGATCCGTTTTAGTTAGAATAGAAAGACCAACTGCAACGGGAGACGCATAAGTAAACACTAAGTATGCTCAGGTGTGAGTAGCTAATCAGGGTGAGGAAAGTGGAAATAAAAAGCAAAAATAGGAAAAGGAAAGGGAAAAAAAAAAAAGAAAAGAAAAGAAAATAAACCAAAAGCAAGACCAATCTGGGCGGCACACCACGACGGTTGCAATGCGACGCTAAACCCGACTTATTATTGGATCTGATATGGGTCCTACGGAGTTAGCAGGCACGTATTATTCCAAGACCGCGCGAGGTGCTGTCCGAACTTCCACCCCTCTTCCTTTTTGCTCCCCCCTCTCTTAGTACTCTCTCTAGTATTCTCCCAAAGGCGAAAAAAAAAAGCCCCCCCTCTCTCCCTCCCTGGACCAGTAAAATGACCTATAGACACTAGAACCTAACGCTGGATCTGGACTAGGGCTGCTGACCTTGTTACCCTTCCACTACTCCGTAGCATGCATCCACTTTGTTCCCCCCCTCCCCGTGGCTCTGACATCAACCGGTATTTCATTCTCTTCAAGACAAAGCAGAGACAATCAAACCCGGGCAGCCAAACCGGAACCGACCCAAACGAGGCCAGAAAGGAGGATCAACCCTCTGGACCTGCGTCCGGGTCAAACTCTGTCTATCCTGTATGGGCACAGCACTTTCTCCGGACGAGAACTAGCCTACCCTGGCTCCTCTAGCGGAGTTGCTCTGAAGATGATTAGCCATTTGCTGGATGGAGGATGATGTCTTGACTTCATCCTTCATTATTAGTACCTTTCTTTTACTTTTTTATTTTATTCCATTTTTTATTAATTTCCTGATTTTTATTTCTATTTTCATTATTTGGCCTTATTCAATTGATTCCGTCTCCTCTATGGCCTCTCTATCCATCTAAGGTCTTTTCTATTTATTTCATTTCCATCTTCATTTTTTTTTTCTTTTTGATTTCCTTTTTGGTTCTAAATTAACTCTCTTGACTTTCCTTTATGATCGTCTCAATTGCCCTTTGAATTACCTGAGATATAATACCTTTTTATAACTGGTTGTACTTGCAACCTAAGTTATTGCAATCTATACACCCAGAACCTCATCTTCCATTCTTCTGTCACTACTACTTACTTTCTATAACTACTACGACCCTTCCTACACTTCGTTGACATTTAATATACTTACTATGTGATAATCCTTTTTCATCCTATTTTCTTGGTCCCTGCTTCCATTATTCCCACCCCCTTAAGTGCCTTCATTCCATCTGGGAAAGCAGCATTCACCGGATCCGCTGCTGTTGCTATCCTACCAACTCCTCCCCCGCAGCCAGGCTGATATTCCCTTGGAACCCCAATTCTTTTGTCGGCGATTTCCTCGTTTGACCTCGTGTGTGTTGCTTCCATCTTCTCGACTTGTCGCAACGAACCGCCGCATACCACGCCCGAAAATTGAAGATCTGGGAAGTTCCCGGTGTTTAATAACACTCGACTCAAGAATAACACCAACTTGGTCAAGAGCTAGTCCAATGCGAGCTCTCTGACAAGGGTGTTACCTTTACATCTCCATCCTCGATCCAACTGCTTCAATCCTGACGCCATCCTTAAATACCACCCATATGTCTCTCCCGATCCTCTCAACGAAACCGTATCTCCCCGCCCTCCACCCGATCACTCCTACTATAGCTCCTTCCTCGCGGACTGAAGGCTCGCTCAGCGCAAGGAAACGACCTCTTGAGGCTATCTCAGAAGTTCCCGATTACACCTGGACTGCTCCCTTCAGGGACGGTCTACCTACCCCTCCGAACGATATGAATAGCGTCACCGCTTGCAGCGCTCTGCCGGCGTCTTCCTATGGCGGCAAGCTCGATGGATATCAGCTTCCACCATATTCCAAGGTGTCTGATTATACGCGCATGTCTTCTGATGTATCGAACGGGGCGGTCTCTTCGTCCCAGCCGAAATACCAAGCGCCGGTCAAGGATACCATGACCTCCGAACGAGAGTCTCAGAAGAAAGCCAGCTCCAATGGTGTTGCGTCGTATCTCCAGATTCCTTCGTCTATCAGCAATAGCAAAGGCAGCCTGGCTGAATTTGCAGCACAGGTAAGCTGGGTTCTTCTATCCATCCATCCTGGATGTAAGATGCTGACTGGGCAATAGATGACGTGCCTTTTCTGGTTCGAAAGTACCGCGAAACTGAAGGCCGTGGAGGACCGCCTCAGCCCGACTACATCGCTTGCACCAGAAGCAGTTCCCGCTGTTGCGTTCCAAAAGTGGGTGACAAACATCCTGTCAACTACGCAGGTCAGCCAGAATGTCATCTTATTGGCACTGCTCTTCGTCTACCGGTTGAAGAAGTTCAACCCGGGTGTGCGGGGAAAGAAAGGCAGTGAGTATCGGCTGATGACCATTGCCCTCATGCTGGGCAACAAATGTATGTCACTCCCTCGTGAACTGGTTATGGACAGAGAACTGACATAGTCTAGTCCTCGACGATAACACATACACCAACAAGACATGGGCAGAGGTCTCGGGGATCACAGTCCAAGAGATCCACATCATGGAGGTGGAGTTCCTCAGCAACATTCGCTATAACCTGTTCGTGTCCAAAGAGGAATGGAATGAGTGGCACGTCAAACTCGGGCTTTTCACGGACTACTTCAACAAGGCACCTCGAGCCTCCGAAAAGAACGAGAAACACCCTACTCCGCCAGTCCTCAATGTGTCGCCCACTTTGGTGCCATCTCCTCGGGCACAGTTGCCGTCACCTTCGACAAAGTTGCCATCGCCTCCCGCATCCGATCCTCTCCGTTCGCAGCCCTGGGCTATGCCTATGAATGCCGTGCCATACACTGGCGCACCTCAGCTCCCGAGCGACTTGCCACCGGCCACCAGCTCTCGGAAGCGGTCCCGTGAGGAGCCATTGGAGGAGCCACCAGCGAAGAGGACAGCCATGCCAAACAACATGCTCACCTCAATGCCGTCACTTCCACCATCATCAGCTCTCACGAGCATCCCGGCCTTGCCTCCGGTTCTGGCGTCCTCCGGTGTTCCCCCTCACCTTCCGGCCATGTCCGAACCGGTCTCGCGACTCCCCCGTCCGAACTTCCCATCTCACAGCCTTCCCCCTACCATGCCGGCGTTGTCTCAACTTAACCCCTCCGGTCGAGTCATGCCCCCGGTCTACAACCCTTCTGCGAACTGGGTTCCGCAGATGCCACCTGCGACGTCGGTTCCTACTACTGCCGTTGGACCTGTGGCCAACGGAATGTACAACACATCCATCTCACTGCCCGACCCCAGCAGACACCACAACAGCCCGTTCGCAATGACATCGGGCACAATCTCGCCCGCAGTTTCTGCATACTCCGTTCACACTCCTCAAAACCACCTCTCTCCGACCTTCTTCCTGGCAAACCGAAACTCGCCTTACCGACCGGTTCGCAGTGTCAATACGTTGTTGATCCCGCCTCCGTCGACGTCTATGCAGCAGCAGCGCATCCCGTTTGAGCACATGCACTACCAGCCGCTTGGCAAGTCTGAGCGGAAGACGGGCTTGCTGCCATATTCGCACCCTGAGGCTTGGCCGCATGGACACTTCCCGCAACCGATCTTCCACACCACCCCAAACTATTAGATGACTTGCCGTTATCGAAAGACACTTTTTACGACTAGATTTTACGACGAATTACGAGAAGAAGCTCGCATTCTTTTCTCTCATTTGCTTGTCTCGCACACTTGTCGTTCATGTTTGCCCCCTTGTGTATACTGTACAAAACTTTCTTCACTCTGTGTTATGACCTAGCATTATGACGGCGTTGGCATTTATAGATGGCCTTTGTACTGGGAAGGATATGTTTGCATACTTGGCCATGGGAGGGATTCTGATTGATTTATCGAAGCATGGGTATGGCGTGGTATCTGTACGTTAACACCTACTTGCATTGCATTACAGATCGATCACAGATCGATCAAGCGGGCTAAGCCTGCTCAATATATTCATTATATAAAACTTGCACAACACAATACCTTTGCTCAGTAGTAGACATCTAGTAGATTGTTGATTCTAATGGTGACTTGATTTCACCGCTTCCGTGTAAATAAATTCTTACGGACAAATCGAGCGGTGAGATGTACTCGACAGATCTTAAGTAAAATAACCAAAGAAAGACTGACCATCAGTCTCCAAACAAGACATATCCCCATAATTCACACATACACAAAAGATTATTCAATATACACCAGAAGTCACTCAGTTATCATATCTCATTTCTTACAAACAAAAGAAACCCTACATCCAGTAATAATCGTTGCGTACTGTTGTAGAAATCACTTAGTTACCTACTCAAGTCCCCGGCCCGACCAATCCTCCGCTCCGACCCGACCGACCCATTCCCAGTACACACCTCAGGCATCAACACAACCCTCTCTCTCACTCCCCGAAAACGAAAGATCTTTGTCCGCGGAAGAACCTCAAACCCATCACCACCACCACCCCATCACAAGCAACAGCACGCGGTCACCATGCCACCCCGGCTCCAATTGCTGCCCTTCCAATGGCAGCGGCCAATGGCCACTACAACAACGAACCTCCTCTCCGCCTTCCTCCTCCCCCAAGCAGCTATTCCTATCCACCAACAAAGCCGGAACGCGCACATCCTCGCCTCGCTCTCCGATACGCAGGGCGCCTACAACAAGCGCATCAGAAGAGGTCGGGGTCCTGCCTCCGGAAAGGGTAAAACGTCCGGAAGAGGTCACAAGGGTCAGAAGCAGCATGGTAAAGTCCCCGCTGCGTTTAATGGTGGTCAGACGCCTGAGATTGTGGTGCATGGTGAGAGGGGGTTTAATAATGTGTACGTTTTCCTTCTTCTTATGCTCTTCTACCATGAAGAGATTTCACTACGTGATAGACGACTATATGCTAATGAGAATAATAATGGGATAATAGACATTCGATCGACCTCGCCCCCGTGAACCTCGACCGAATCCAATCCTGGATCGACCAAGGCCGCATCGACCCAACGCGCCCGATCACGGTGCGCGAACTCGCCCAATCCCGCTGCATCCACCAGACCAAAGAGGGCGTGAAGCTTCTCGGCCGGGGCGTGGAGAAGGACGACCACGAGGTCCCCGTCGACAGTGTGCTCAAGCAGCCGATTCACATCGTTGTGTCGAGGGCGTCTGCGCCTGCGATTGCGGCTGTCGAGGCGGTGGGTGGATCCGTCACGACGAGATTCTATACCAAGTCTGCTATTGCAAGGATCATGAAGCGTGAGATGCATCCGTTTGTGTCCTTGGCTTGGACTAAGGAGAGTGGGAGTGAGGCGTTGGCGGTCGCCGAGGATGGGGAGCCTCTGACTGAGTCGAAGGTGATGAAGGAGATGGGGTATTCGTATAGGTTGCCGGATCCGACTAAGAGAAGGGATATTGAGTATTATAGGGATCCGGCGCATAGGGGGTACTTGAGTCATTTGTTGAAGCCGATGGAGGGCCCGAGTTTGTTCTTTAGGTCGCCTGTGGAGAGGAAGTCGGCTGCTGGTGTTAAGAAGGAGAAGGTCTTGCCGGAGAATAGGCTTTGGTGATTTCCTTCCTTACGGGGGTGTGTTGTGTGATCTGTGGGGTGTAGGTAGGTATAGATGATGTTGTGGGTTTCGTTTTGTTGAGTGTTTCCTTTGGTTTTATCATCTCTTGTATAAATATGCTTGTATGTTATGTTATGCTTGTGGATATGTTTCATTACATTTAGGCTTGACTTACTCTTCGTTCTCTTTACTAGACACTACATATGTTGGATCTCTTACAGATGTCTCACTCTCCCACCACCAGTTGTTCATTTCATTCATACTAGCAGAATGCCGCTCATATGTCAAGAAAGCACATGCCCTGAGAAAAGAGAAGAGACTGGACACACCAAAAAGCCAGAGAACCTCTCAGCAAGCAAGAAGACCGTCCGGATATAGGTAGGTAATACAGATGATATGAGAAATAAAGAAATGACACGTTTTGTTCGCAAACCCTCACCGCTGAAACGGAAACAACGCCATGCCTTGCCACCAGGAGAAGAAGCGATTTGTTTCAAGTGGAAAGGTGAAGTCAAAGAAGATGCGATACCAAACCAAAACCAGACCCTCTTCTTGCCCAAAGAATGTCCCCGACCGCGATTTGAAATGCCTAGAACAAAGAACACAAAGTAGAGAGGTATACCGAAATGCGCTAAAGCAAAAATATCGAACTCAATAAATCAGAACGCTGCCAACATTGAAAAGAGGGTATCATTAGATGATCAACATTCCGGAAACACCAGCGCTCGTCAGTATCATAAAAGCGCCAGTCATGATCATCGGTCATTCGTAAGGCAACATTCCCAGTCCCTTCGTAAAAGAAATCAGATAGACTGGGAAGAAAGAAAGAATATAATGCGTTGAGGCACTGCAACGAATGAAGCCCTTTACAGCTTCCATGCCGACTCCGTAGGGCTCTCTGCATTATCCGTAAATTCCCGCAACCAGCGGGAGCACAACACGTCGCGGATCGACCACCGTTTATCAACGTTCATATTTAAGCAGCCCATTATTAACTCCAGTGCATCTTCTCTGTCCTGGCGAAGCTGGGGATCCGCTTCTTCACCCACCACAGCATGCTTATTCCAATTTCCACTGAGGATATTTGATTGAATCCGTGGAGCAAAAGCATCTTGGAATGGTCGTGATCCGACGACAATCGTGAACACGATGACGCCAAATGCCCACATGTCCACCGAAGGATCGATAACTCCATTCGTCGACGACAGGAGTTCTGGGGAAGCGTACTCTAAGCTTCCCGCGACGCTGGTACTGGAACCAGCAGGGCCGATGGTCTTAGGCGGGGGACGGTCGGCGGCGTTATCGTAAGGATCAGGTGATGCGTCCTCATTGTCCGAGTTCATCCACTCTGCCATCCCGAAATCGCAAAGAACGAGCGTAGATGTCTTCGTCCCATCAGGGGACTCAGTAGGATCCAACAAGCAGTTCTCCAGCTTGATGTCCCTATGAACAACTCGAGCATCCTCGTGGAGGTATCTCAAGGCACACGCGAGCTGGTACGCATACTTTTTGGCTAAGGTCATGTCCAATCCGCGGCGGTTTTGCCGCACAAGATCGAAGAGAGTGCCGCCGATAGCCAGTTTTGTGAAGCAGAAAGTGGCGTAGTCAGTCTCGTAAACCGCGTCCAACGTCAGTACGTTCGGATGGCTTAAATATCGCCAAACTCGCACTTCGTGGTCAAACTCCGCTTGAACCTCATCATTTTCCTTCTCACTCCGTCCAGAAACTTGTTTCTTGACAATCTTGACGGCAAGCCGTTTTGTCTTACCACTTTCCTCGACCTTGTAGGCCTCTTTCACTGTGCTAAATCCACCAAATCCTATCTGCTTGCCAAGGACATACTCAGTACCGACCATTTGTCCCTCATCATCTGGCTGAGGGGCCGGCTCGTCACCACCCGCGCTCCACATGGACAGAAACATGCTGGCTGGAGATTTGCCGCTCGACGCAGTAGATCTGCGAGACCTCTGGCGGGTTGAGACGCGAAGGCCTCGTGCCTTACTTCCGAAAGGAGTCATGACACTGCCTGACCAGGAGCTGCGATCATCAAGCGAGGCGAACGTCTGCATAGGCGAGGCCACGCAGATGGGGGACGATAACATGCCCCGGGACCCTTCTGGAGGGGTTCGCAGCTCCTCCGTGATGGGAGACGCAGTAGATAGAGACGTGAGAGAAGTAGGATGCTCATAATCAGATGGGATAGCACCGTTTTCTTCGGGGAAGCTGTCGCGAGCAATCCCGGTAGGGATGGCTCGTCGTTCCTGCTGCCTCCTGAGGCTGGAACTGAGTCCCACCTGTCTTCCGTTGTGGTCAGCATCATCTTCCAGAGGCAAAGAATTCCTCAAGCTCGAACTCTTTGCTTGGAACCGTTGAGTGCGGCTCCTCACGTCTCCTCTTGGAGAAGAGGGATCCTCTAGCGGTCGGCGTCGGCCAGAGTCGAGGGCGGCGTCAAAGCTGATGGAAGGGCGGCGTTCTTGAAGAAAGCTGTCGAGCGGAGATGATGCTTGGACATCCTCTGGCTTGTGAGGAAAGGTGACATCTTGCTTGGGATAATCATCATGACGGGGAACGGAGATGGGGGGTGTCGCTGAGTGCAGGCCACTCAAAGCACTGTTGTCTTCATCAGTACCGCAACGGGGTGCGTGATAATCGTGAAAGATGTTTGTACGATCGCCCTCGATACCGTCTCCCTGATCCGACGCTCTTCTGCCTCCATCATCACCCCGCCACCGGGGTCTCGGCGAATGGTGAAAGGATGTCTCTAGCTTCAACCCAACCAACCCGTTGTTCCTCCCAGTCTGAGCCATGCCCTCGGAGAGAGAGCAAAGTAATATCCAAGGGCGTCAAGGATCAGACGGCCACGATCTAACTGTCGTGGGATTTGCGGATGACTCGAAATTTGCACATGAAGATAAGGAAGAGGGGGAGTGAATGAATAGTAAGAGGAGTAGAGGAGTAGAAGGAGGAGTGGGCGGGAGAGACCGTTTGTAATCTTATCGACTCCGTAATGCTACTACTTATCGGAGGGTCCCGATCCCACAGCGGAGCTAAACTCAAAAGTGCAGTGAGTCAGATGGAGAAATAACACTAAAATAGAACAAAGTAATATACTAGGGATGATAGGGCAGGCAGTGGAATGGAGTTAGGCAGAAGAAGGAAAACAAACGGCGTGCTTCTAGGCAGCTGTGGAGGGAAGAAAGAAGAAAAATTGTCAGACACCAGAGACGAAAATGGTGAACGAAGGGCAATATCGGGTGATGACGGAGCTGAATTGAAGGGTTCCATTGAAGGGTCGGAGCAGCAGACGTAAGTGGGGGACAGCCTGGGCCAATCAGCAGTGCAGCTTAGGTGGTACACGGCGTCGTTCATGACGGAGGGATCGACCATCCACCACCAGTCAGAGGCCGCCGTGACTCCAGAACCACTTAATCACCTGCCAATTCGCCCATCTCGCCCCCATCACCTGATGTTGTCGCCCTGGCCCTATGCCCTGAGCCCTATTCAAGCATCATCTTACCTCAGCTACCCCATCGTGTTAACCCCTTCAGGTTAGTTGCACTTACCTAAGACGGCGTTGGCGCGTGGCCAGTCAGCTGCAGGGCCAGGCACGGGCCCTGAGCGCCGTTCTCTGGTAGGAAGTGGATAAGCGCGCGCAAGGGGCGCTTGTTTGGAGCAACCAGTTTGGAGACCTCCTTTTTTCGGGACTGTCTCAAACAATCCAGAAAGTCCGGGGAACTCGTCCGGCCTTTGGTTTCTTGACTCGGTTCTGGGCACCAGCTTCACTTCTCCAAAACATCGGCGTTTTTGGCTATCGTTTTCTATTGCTTCGCTTTTGCTTTCGTCTTTGCGTCACTCTGGAAGTCTTTCTTTCGCCTTGTTGCCTGAACCCTCGTCGCCTGGTCGGACGCCCAAGTACCTACCCCCGCCGTTGCTGTTCCTGGCGTTTCCTTCCTTCTTTCGCGTCGATACATCCTTCGCAGCTAGAATTTCCAGTGGAATTCGCTCCTTTTTCGATTTTCCAATATATCTTCACACTCCCTTACCGTTCCCACCCGGACGTCGGGCAGCGGCCAGTTGCGTTACCACGTGGTTCCAATGCCCGTGATCCCATAAGTCGTGCCTTGTGCGGAAAGCTTGAGAGACGCTCCCTTCAAATCATAGTTGTGACTGCTTAGAAACGTAGCAAACATGGCGAGGCCACGGATTGTACGGGCTGGTACGTCTACTCCCAGCACATGGTTGCCGATCCGTATACCATCTCCGCCCTTGCTGACCCGGATCATGTTATGATAGACACCCTTGACCTCCAAGACCACAACGCTCCTTCAGCTAAAGATCACACGCGACAACCTACTCACTCATCTGGAGTCGCCCCTCACCAGGAGCAAACCCTTCGCCATGCGGACGAGGATATCAAATCCGAAATGATGCACGGTCCCGGCGCTGAAGACGGCCATCCGGAAGCTGGATACGGCGATGGGATTGATATATACGATGACGATGATGATATTGAGGAAGTGGACGAACTGGGACACCATCATCACAAGGGTGATTCTGGGGGTTCCGAGGAAGGCGATCTTGCGGATGGGGAGAGCGACGACATGATGGACGACGATCTCATGGACAAGATCTCAAGCTCTCCATCGATTGATGACGGTGCGTCCCGCTTCTTTTGGTCCTTTCGGGAATTATGCAGACATCGCGTGTCACACAATCCGCCTGGATCCAAACATCTCCTTTGCCCTCAGCCGTCTAGCTCTGGACCATGACTGACCCTAACCAGAGGACATCGATTTTGAATTTGTTTATGCCCTTCACAACTTTTTTGCGACCGTTGACGGACAAGCAAATGCGGCGAAGGGTGATACTATGGTTCTCTTGGACGATAGCAACAGCTACTGGTGGCTTGTTAGGATCGTGAAGGATGGCAGTATTGGTAGGCTACCCCTCGGTGTTACACAACATCAGCTAATTATCCGGTAGGTTACTTGCCAGCCGAACACATTGAGACGCCCACGGAGAGGTTGGCAAGATTGAATAAACACAGAAATGTAGATGTAAGTGCTGATGGTTTGAGTCCATGGTTCTTTCTAATGTCATCAGTTGTCCGCAACCATGCTTGGCGACAATTCGGAAAAGTCAAAGAATCCGCTGAAGAAAGCAATGCGCCGCAGAAATGCAAAGACCGTTACTTTCACAAGCCCAACATACATCGAAGCATCTGATGTTGAATACTCGACCGAAGAAGAAATGGACGACGATATTTCTTTCCAAGACGAAGATATGGCCCGGGAGGATGCGGATCACTTACAGGATGGTCAAAATGAAGACATTGTCGTCAAGCCTCTCAGGCCCAAGTCGAAGGATAGAGGATTCGAAGAAGACGACATTCAGGAAGTGCAAGAGCCTGACAGCGCTGGTCTCGACAAACAGCGGTCCAGCCAGGAAATATTTGAAACGGAAGGTGAGGACATTCTCCAGGGATAACAGACTGGAAGCTAACAGTCTCCAGCGGACAATGCTGTCAGCAGGTCCAGAAATGGCACTGTGCGGAATACAGACTCCTTCTTCAAGGATGATACTGTTGAAACTAAGAAGATCTCTCTGACACCCAACCTGCTTCGGGATGAAAACTCATCCGGTGAGGCGAAAGAGGTAAGCATATATCTCACTACCTCCGTCTGTGTGGAAACTAATCAGTCAGCAGAGTCGCGGCAGCATGGAGGCGATCGACAAGGCGCTCAGCGCTATTGACAAGAACAAGGATGACAAGAAACGCAAAGACAAGAAGCCAGGAATGCTCAGCGGTCTGTTCAAAAGGAAAGATAAGAAGACCAAGTCTAACGATGAGGACACGGATGAAGCGGAAAAGACCTCAACGGAGCTGTCTCGGACATCCCCACAACCGAAGACATCGTCGGATTCTTTGTCCTCTCCCGAATCTGCTCGATCGCCCAAACCCTTGGTGGTGCAGAGACAGACCAGCAAGTTGCAGAAGCAACCCCCTTCGGCTATGTCTCCAACTAGGCAAGACATATTCCAGGAAGCTGGTCTTCAAAGTCCCGTCGATGCTAGAGAAGAGCCGAGACCAGTCATGAGTTCGAAGGATCAAACCATCCGACAAGTAACATCGGAAGAGGATGACGATATCCCATCATCTCCTCCCCTGGGGCCTTTTGACGACAGCCAGGAAGCTATGTTGTCTTCTGCCCGTGTGCCAAGTCCTTCAAAGAAGCCAGCTTTGACTCCACTCGATCACCAGGAATACCCATCCACTGACATCCAGAAAACCTGGGAGGAGGATGTTTCTGAGAACACTTATTCTCAACAACGTTCTGTGGCGTCTCCTCCACAGAGATTCCCGCCGAAGCAGGTGTTGAACTACCAGCCCCAGCGTCTAGACTCGCCCCTCAGCGGTTCTCCGCTGGAAGGGCCGGTTTCACCTCTTACACCAGGATTGGTGGCAGGCCTGCCATCCCCTGGGAGACACTCGGTCTCATCGGTGTCCCCGCCTTTATCTCCTATTGCTGGTGACAGCGATCACAGAGGCATCGACGCCGTACCTGCGTCGTTTGAGACTGCGTCTGCTGGAACACCGACTTGGAGCGATGCTAGCTTGCGGTCGTACTTGGATGACGAGAACGACATCCGCGATCTATTTATCATTGTCCACGACAACTCTAACATCCCGCCTGCCGGTCCTGACCACCCGATTACTGGCTGTCTCTTCAAGGAAGAGAGTAAGAGGCTAAGGGAGATGACCAGCCAGCTGGATGCGATGCTCGCTGAGTGGGTAGGCCGGAGGACGCGGAGTGCGGCGAGCAAATAAGCAGGTCTTTAGACTCGGGTACTTGGTGTACACTAGACTGCTCACATCTGCAACTCCGGTTATTCGCGCAAATTCCAAGAGGATCGGTCATTCTGTTCGCCAGGGGCTAACAATGTGCTGGACGCATGAACTTGGTTGGCCTATGTTATGGTCCCTCTTTCAATCCGTCTCTCATTCGGGGACTTGATCATACCTGCGCTGTCACTTGCATAGCGCGACCCATTCAGCCCGACAGGTGGTGATCGGTCATATCTGACCTTGATTTCGCTCTGACTTTCTTTTTTGTATGCTTCAGTCTTTTAGTGTTGCGAGCCGTCTCTTTTCTCATTGCTTGTATGTTTTCTGTCTTGAAGCCCACCTTCTACAGTTGCTGGGATACCCCTGACTACATGCCTCCACTACCTCGTGCTCTTTTCCCCGACTTTTCATGAAGTGATGTTAGATCTACATGTTCGTTACTCATCAACCAACTATTGCATTCAGCCAAGCACACCGCTTTGTTGGTGAACCTACGTGATAGATCACGCAATATCAAGAATATCACGAAGACAATAGCCCTGTAGGAGCGCTCCACTCCAGCCAAAGCAAACAAGGCCGGCCCGACCGCGTAAAAACAGACCACCCTGTCGCCAAGTCCGAGTCATCAGTTCGTATGTGTTCGCGAGGCTGAGTCGTGCGGCACGGTCACCTGCACCCACCCCCGTCAGCCGCCAGTCCCTCACCACCCAGACCCGCAGCAAGCCCCAGCTGATCATCTTCACAAGACATCCATATACTCTCCGAATATAACAGTCATTTCTACTGCAACTACATACATACATACATACCAACATTCCCTACCATAGATTAATTCCCAAACCAGACCAGATCAACAATAACCTACCTATTCCATCCATCGAAAATTCCATACCTCCAAAAATGGCCGACCCCTACCCCCAGCACCAACAACAACCATACCCCTCTCCCGTCCCAAACAGCGAGACTCCATACTACTCTCCTCCGGACGGCGTCTACCAGCACGCAGGATACGACTACGAACCGCAACAGTTCTACAACCAGCATGCACTGCCGAATCAAGATCCCGCTTATAGTTCTCAGTACGACGTGAGCCAGATTCCGCGGTCTTATCCGACACAATGGAATCCGCAGGCTGCTAGCAGCAATACCAATCTCAGCAATGTTAATAATGAGTCTAATGCTGCTGTTCCGCAATATGATCCCGATCGTCTGGCACCGGGCTACGAACCGCCTGTTCGAAGGGGGAGTAATGCTGAGTATTAGTCTGTTCCCATATATCTCCCACATTCTATATTCTATACTTCGTTCTGTGTATAATGTACATGGTTATGTGTTACTGACATAGTCGGGAAAATATAGCGCCCAATCCGCCGCAGACATGCAAGCCCCTCCTCCTCCTGCTCCTTCAGCCCCGGAGACCGAACAGCAACCCCGCGCCTACGATAATGATCCTACCACCGCTGGTGGTGCTGCTGCTGCCGGTGAAGAAGAAGGCGAGCGCAGCCTCGGCGGAGCTGTCCTGGGCGGCGCGACGGGGTATTATCTGGGACATAAGAAAGACCATGGACTCTTGGGTGCAGTTGGGGGTGCGATCCTGGGGAATTTTGTCAGTAATAAGATGAAGAAGAGTGATAGTGATGAAGAGGTCGAGGAAGTGGAGGTTGATGATGATCGCGAGACGGAGTATACGAGGTATCATAGCAGTCATTATCGGCGGTTGTCGAGTCATGGACATGGACATCATCATCACCATCACCATCACCATCATCATGGTCATGGTCATGGGCATCGGAGTCGGAGTCGGAGTCGGAGTCAGTATGAGGAGGAGTGGTAGGGAGGTATTATGAGGTACGAGTTATGAGTTATGATTATGTTTTAGATGTTCTTGTGCAGTGAGTGATGTTGGGATGCTGGATGCTTGATACCCTCTTTGTATCTGTTCACGCTTCGACTTACTGTGGGTTACTAGCTATAGAGACTCTTAGTTATTCAATTGATATACTTTGTACTTATAAGTATTGCCCAAGACAAAGTAATATCATCCATAGTTATCCTACCATACACAACTAATGACACTTACCCCAACTGAACTCACCCAAAAAGATGAATCAATACTATCAGATCATCTAATCTCTACACTCCCCTCATCCCACTTACCCTAATCCAGCTAGCCCTCACCTACTAGAAATAATCCACAACTCCTCAACCACCCAAGAAGCCAATCATATCCTCAGACCATCCTAGATGTCGAAAGAATCGCCAAAATCCACTTTCGGGGTGCTGGCCAATGGGAGAGGTGATTCGTGACGCGTTGGGACGCGATTGAAGGTGAATGAGAGGAGTCGATGGGTTCTAGATGGTCTATGTGGATTGTGGAGGGGGTGGATAGGTGCTGGTGAATGTGAAGAGGTGGGATAGTAAGTGGTTGGTGGGGTGCTCTGGTTGAGTGTCTATCTATGGATGGCTACATGTGATGGTGTGACTTGATGGCGGGATTGTGCGATGTACAAGTAGTTATTATAGGATGGCTGTTAATAGGTCAATGGTAGGTTGTGATGATGAGGGTATATAAAGGTGTGTTATAGTTCTGACGTCTTGCAGTGGTATTTATCTCTGTCGGTTGAGTATGGGGATAGTTAGAGGGATGTGAACTGGAATGGTAAAGAAGGAGTGTAGTACGGTTTGAGTCTGCTAATTTGAGGATTATTATTTACAGACTTCATGATTGACATCATGACGGATGTAAACTTATGGCGACAGTTCAGGGTCTTATCACCAAGACGAAGGGGACCCTTGTACCTGCATGTTTTAGTGCCATCCACATCCTGGTTTACGCGCCTCGATCGTGAGATTGTGATTAGGCGGTGAGCTGGGGTTTTTTGAGATTTTGAGTAGTTGATCGCGTGCATATTCGCCCTTGAAACTTTTAGAGTGATGGTGTGCACTTTGAGATTCTTTTCAGGCTGACTGAAGATAGATGGAAGTCATATGATCTTGAGTGTGTTTATAGATAGCGTGGGATGGGGGTTATCGTGGAGAGAAGAGTCTAATCAGCCGGTAGGGGAGATGCTAGCGGATCTACGAACGGAGGACCGACATGCTCCATATCTCTATCTCTCACCGTTATTTCTTTGTGTCTGTCTGCTTGGCAATCATAATGAGACAGTCCAGTGAGATAAGGGCTTCACTTGCTCTCTGCTACGCCAGTGTCCCTTTGCGGTCCTTGCCGAAAACATCCCTGATATCTCCGAGACAAGATGCAGGCCGAGATAGGCCATCCGTCAACCCGAGCTATGTATGTCTCAACAGAGGGTGCAGTGAAGTACGTATTGCTTGAAATCCGAACGAGCAGCCTATCGTAGCAGGAGCTTAGGGTTGCAATCGACGGTGCTGTCTGTGCTTTTTGCCTGGATTTAACCTTCAATAAACAGTGTGGGTCAGGGCTCCGGGGCAGCCGTGATCTTGACCGGGGATTGTCTTGGGCGGGTCTGGGAAGTTTCGGGCTCTGCCTTGGAAAGGCGTCCTTCGCATCCATGGGATGAAGGCAAAACTGTGATTCGGAGTAAAAAAAAAAGTCTATCATGGTCTCTTCCGTTCGGGCAATCATTCAGTATTGCCCGTGTCACCCCACGCTCAGTCTGACTTAATTCTCGGAGAGTTTGAGCGATGAATGCAGTGGGAATGTGAACAGCCGACCGAAGCGCAGAAGTAGGCAGACCAGAGGATGATTCCGGGGTCTGGAAAGGGATATGATTACCGGAAAGAGGGGGGGAAGAGCGAGCTGTGAGAGAGAGAGAGAGTCATCACTCATTATCTGCAATGGTGCCAATGCGGATAGACCAGCAGATCCGGAATGAAGATGAGGATTATTGATTGGAGTTAGTCAAGATAGTTCCAAATTAGTGTAAATTGTTGCCGAACGGAGTCCGCTCCATTCCGAGTCCCCTTTGCCTCTGGGGGAAAGCCAATCAGCAGGCGGCGATAGGGATCATCCTCCATCCTCAGCCCCAGAAATCAACTCGTGACTCGATCTCGAGGCCGCCAAGTGTGACTGACTGACTGACTGACTCCCTTCCCTTCCCTTGTCGCGCATGCCTTCACCTCCCTCTCCTTCCTCTCTCTCTCTCTTCCTCCTTCTTCATCTTCTCTCATATCCTTTCCCCCGTCTTTCTTCTCGCTGCTGACGGGATTGCCCATCACCAACTATATTGTCGGGCTTCTTCGCTTTGTTCGTCTTATCGCCCTTATCTAGCGTTCCTTCATACCGCTACAGAGACACGTCCTATACTTCCAACAACCAAGATACCTCTACTGTCTCTTCAGGTCACACACAGATATTAGACTCCCGACACAAGCAATAGCCATGCCTCCTCCTCTCTTACAACAGATTCATGCAGTGCTCCCGCAACACTGTGAACCGACAACTCCCTTCCTCGCGGCCGTGTCCTCCTACCTCCACATCTGCCTCCCCACACCGTTAGCCTTCGTCTCCTCCGTTCTCGGAACCCTCAGCATCGTGTCCTGGCTCTTCGCCCAGCTCCCACAAATATACAAAAATTATCAAATCCAGTCGACGGCTGGCTTGTCGCTGTTCTTTCTCGTGGAGTGGTGTTTGGGTGATACTAGTAATCTTCTCGGTGCCCTGCTCACCCGGCAGGCTGGCTGGCAGGTCATCGTGGCTGCTTACTATGTCTGCGTTGACGTGACTTTGGTCTTTCAATACTTCTGGTATACACACTACAAAGGACAGTATGATGGCTACGGTGCCCTCTCTCATTCGGAATATGGTCAGCCCCCGGGTAGTGTCTTGGAAGGCGTCTCGTTCTCCGACAACGGCTCTTCCGATCACGCCCCTCGTTCGACCGAGTCTCCCTTACCGTCAAATCCCAAAGATGTGAAAGATATGAAGGAGCCTGCCGTGCCAACTTCCAACGGGCAATCTCCATCCTACTCCAATGAGAAATTGAGCTCTTCAAAGCGCTCGATCACTCGATCCAGTAGTGGCCCCAGCCTCCCAATTGGGTCACCACGTACTCTGCTGCTTGCATCAATGCTTTGCGCCGTGGTGGCCAACGCTGCCCCGACAGAGCCGCAAACAACTTCCGAAGCCTCGCAGAAGACTCTCGAGATCCTTGGCCGGATCATCTCCTGGATGTCAACATTCCTCTACCTTGGCTCGCGGCCGCCCCAACTATACAAGAACTACTGCCGGAAGAGCACATCAGGCCTTTCCCCATTACTATTCATGGCTGCCTTTTGCGGGAACCTCTTCTACTCCGCCTCCCTTCTTACCAATCCCAACGCCTGGTATGACTTCCCTGCCTATGGCGGTGGTGGCTGGGCCGACGCAGATGGCAACGACCGCCTCGAATGGGTTACCCGCGCTACTCCCTTCTTCCTCGGCGCCTTCGGTGTGCTAGCCTTTGACGGGCTCATGGGCGTGCAATTCCTCATGTACGGAACCCGGGATGATGAGTCTATCATGCAAGTTGAGGATCCCAAAGACGGACGTAGTCGTTGGACCCGCGTTCGGGGTTGGATGAGGGGCTGGATCCCTTCAGTGTCCCCTGCGCGACGACTTCGTTCTGATGCTCCTGTCTCTTCAGAAGAGAACCAATCTCTCCTGCAGAATGAGCGTGAGAGATACGGTACAGTTTGATTATGATTTCATTCTGTATTACTATACCCTACTTGTCGCTATTTTTTGGTTTCTGCATACCGGTACCCGACACAACTCAGGTCAGGCACCTGCATCCAACAGGCGAACATGATTTAACATTACGACGTTATGGCTTCCTTTCCCCATACACCGGGAATAGACCTTGTTTTTTCTTTCATATCTTCCTATTGGCTGCTTATTTGGCGTTAGCGATCACCTGCGGCGGTTGAACTGGAGTTCTTCATTTCAGATATTCTTCACCAAGACGAAGACTTGATTCTTGGCCGAGCATACATAGCATTTGCTTACAGGATGGTCCCTTTGGGCGGCGCTTTTGGTTATTCTTTGTTTCGGGGGTGGGTTTTGGATTCGCCTGGATTATACATGGCATTCTCTTTCATCCATCAATACATACTAGATGCATACATACAGCAACGGCATATATGGACCACTGTTTTTGCTTTATTTTGCTCTGGATTGAAGATGTAGTAGAGCATGCGTTGGCATACATATACATACTACTACTGTCGTTAGATTTTCATCATCGATAGATAGATCAATTGTCTTTGTTCACTACCAGCATAGACCATAATCGAATCGAGCAGTTGACACGACATACCTCTTCATCTACATAAGTACTACTACCGCTACTAAAAAAAAGATCATGAGTAAATGCATCAAGGATCCAGTGGTAAATATCAAAATTTTCATGAAAAGAATATTAACAGTCATCTAATTATAATCGCTAATGTGGGTGCCCCAACCGCGAATCGCCGGGCCCAGTTGTGTGTGATGTGTGTGTTCAGTCCATTTCATTACCACCCCCTTTCTCTTCCTCTTCTCTTCGACTTCTCTTCTCTCTCATCAATCTCATTATGTAGGTACAGTTTGCATGGCCCCATGTTAATTTGAACAATAAGTCGCAAGTGGCTCACTCTGGTCCCAGCCCTCCAGCACTTGGTGAGGGGGACCGAATCAGCAGTAATATCTATAGGTTAATAATGAAAGAAGGGACAAAGGGGGAGGGGAAGAACAGAATGGGGGGTGTGTGGGATAGAAAGCATGTGAATTGAAGAAGAGAAAGAAAAGAAAAGAAAAGAAAACAGTGGCACGCGAGTCATGGTCGTTTGTTCCCTTGAGACAGCGAGATGACATGACTCGTGAGCCTGAGAGAAGTGATAAGCAATGGGCAATCGGGTAAGGGATGCTACGGCGCATTTGCCGTGCTTGGGGGATTCATGGTCTTCTTTGGGTTTCGGTTCTGTAGTGCGTGTAGGAGCCAAAGTCAAACATAAGCATGACAACCGCAGGGTTGTCTAATGATACACGGGGGATAGATGGGATAGCCTTGAATCGACCAGCGACGCGGCGTGACCAGTATTGGATCGATCTGGTTCATGTGGTGGGCACCTTCCGGACATATGTGCGACAACATCGTCGAGAATCATCGACGTGGTTCGGTGGTGCAGAAGGCAGGTTGTTAAGAGACCAGTAAACGGCCAACTAATAAAGTGGCGACTTGACATCTTGAACGCCTCGTCTGATCACATCCTCAATCTGCCATCTAGGAGGAATGATCTTGGAGTTGCGTTTGCGATGCAACTCTTGTTCCTTCTCCGGAGGGGGCATCGCATCCTCCGGCAGGGCACCTCCCGCGATGCCTGTCGAAAACTTGAGCTGCAGGACATTGCCGATTTCGTCGCAAGCTGTTAGGATGCGGTCAAGATCCTCCTTGGTGTGCGCAGCAGAGACGCAAAAACGGGCACGAGAAGATACCAGCGGCGTAGCAGGATAACCCACGACGACGACCGAGATTTTCCGCTTTAGCATTTCGTGGGAAAAGGCGGGCATTTTGGCAGGGTTGAAAAGGAGAACAGGGATGATCGGCGAATCATCGTGGCCGTACACTATAAAGCCAAGACGCTTCAAGCCCAGGCGGAGATACCGTGAGTTGAAGGCCAAACGCTGCAGCCGCTCTTCACCCTGACCGGGGATGAGTTCGCCGTTGATGATCCGCAACGCCGACATGATTTGCGCCAAAACTGCCGGAGCAGGAGCCTCGCCATAGAAAACACCAGAGTTGGTCGCTCTAAGCACATCAATCATTGCCTTATCCGCGGCGATGTATCCACCGTTGGCACCGAAAGACTTTGTGAGGGTTCCCATAAGAATGTCAACTTCGCTGGTGTCAATTCCAAAGTAGTCACAAACACCACGACCCTTAGGACCAATGGCACCAATGGAATGGGCCTCATCAACGAACAGGTGGAACTTGTAGCGCCTCTTCAGCATGACCAGTCCAGGGAGGTTGCACATGGAACCTTCCATGGAATAGAGCCCTTCAACGACAACCAAGATCTTCTTCCACGGCCGATGGGTACGGGGTTGACCTTGGCTGATAGCTTCGCGCAGTTTACACTCCAGATCCCGCATGTCATTGTGCTTGAACATGGCAATGGAAGCACCCGAAAGACGTGCACCAAACCGAATCGAGGCATGATTGAGCTCGTCGGAAATGATAAGACAGCCCTTGTTCACTAGAGCGGGGAAGATGTTCGCGTTGGTACCAAAGCCCATGGAGAAAACCATGGAAGCCTCTTTGCCAACGAACTTGGCGACCAAGTCCTCTACCTCCACATGAAGATCCTGGGATCCAACCTCAGCGCGAGTACTGGGGGAAACGATACCATACTTGCGGATCGAATCCTCAGCAATGTCCGCACATGGACCCTCGGATTGAGCAAATCCAAGGTAGTTGTATGAGCTCAGGTTCAAGGTGTCAGTGGTCGTTCCAGTGAAGTAGAAGTGCTTGTTGTGGTCATCCGTGGCCCGATCGATCAACGTGATATAGCGACCAGGAACCCCAGTGACGGGACGTTCGAAGCAATCGTTAATTCGCAATTTGAGACGGCGCACGTAGAAGTTGTCGAAGTCACTGTTCAGGGCGCCATATCCATTCTGGGGCTTAAGATGCCGATAGTTCTCTTCGCGGAAGCGCTTTCCAAAGAAGTCTCGCACATGACCGAAAGCGATTAGGATAAGATAACTGATATAGGTGGTGAGAAGGTAATAATACGGGGGTTCGTCCATCACAGGCTCCGGAAAGGTACCACCGGGATGCTGACTGGTGTACCGGTGGCTATGGTGGCCGATGGGGCCGAACTGAGCATGTTGCTTAGCCAGGCGACGAGCCTCTTCGGGCGAAGGCGGCTGAAAGAGAGTGGTCGGTGGTTCGTCCATGTTCGGATTATCCGCTGTGGCAGTGGAGAGAGAGATTGTAGGCAGCGACAGAGAGGCTGAACTGATGGGTGGGGTGGCTGTGCTAGAGTTCAGGATTCCACTGGCCGACTGGACAGCGGCCTGCGCAGTCTGAGATTCGGCCTTGGACTTAGGAGAGGTCGAAAATAGCTGACTTAGGCGGTTAGGTTTAACGGCGGACGCCTTGATGGCGATACCACCCTTTGCGGAGGCAGAAGAAGAGGGAACGTTGGAGGGGTCGTTGACGAAAGAACTAGCAGCGCGACGAGGCATCGCAAGGAAACAGCTAGACAGGAACGAGCAAGGTTGTGCAGCACCGATGAAATGAAGGAACTTCTGCCGCGGCTCTTGAGCAATTAAGTACGGCAAGCACTACCTGGAAGGTAACCAGCGAGCTTTTGCTTCTAGGCAGCGTATTCCTTTGATCTGGCCTCCTTTACTCCAGCGCAAAAGGGAATGACAATGATTCGGTGTCACCTACACACGGCGGAGTCGAGTGTCAGTCACCATTTCACCAGGGGCGGGGAGAGCGACAATAGAATGGCTTAGCGACCGAAGGATTGTGGTCGCAAGCAGAGACAGGGACTCAGATGACAAGAAGCGAAGAGAAGAGGGGTCTAAGGGGGGAAGAAAAAGGGAAGAGTCTTGTCGAGAGACTCCGGAGACTCCGGGGGCTAATCGGTCACGTACCTTCGCACGTGGAGGAACAGTAGCAGAGGGCACGGAACCCTTCGACGACGGGATCTGTCGGGACCCCTAAGCCAAAGGGAATCAATCGACCAGATTAGCCGTTAGAGGAGCAGGACCTTTTGTAGGTTGGTAGGTTGGCAAAGGAGGAAAAGGGTCGGTGCTGGGAAAGAGGTCGGAAAGGGAAGACGAAGAGCGCCGAAGGTCGAATAACGGGAAGAAGACAGATTGGAGTGAGATGAATAATGGAATTTTGTGACGCGAATAAGAGAAAAAAACAGCCTCAAAGGGAATAGTAATGAATAATGGCACCAAACAAGGTACGAGGCTAATAATCGAAGCGGAGCTCAGGCTTGCGTACTGTAAAGTGAAAGCAATACTGTGTAGGGTTTGGTTGGGGTGAAAAAAGCGCAATTTTCGCTGGCGAGATTTGCAAATGACGATGGGGTTACGGGTGGGAAGTGGAGCCCCCGACCCATCGAACACTGTCACAGGGCGGTATTGTTTGCTGGTTCTACACTATCCGTGCACCCGCCCAGTACCTGAGCCACTGGTATTCTGACGGTAATCATACCCGCCGCCCCTGGACCCTTCTGCAAGTTCCTCGATTTGTTTTCATTCGTTGCACGCCTGGATTCTATCGAGTATTTTGACTTTTCCCTTATCCCAGAAAGGGGCAACGCAAGGTGATAGTCTAGTCACCAGAAGCACCTTGAAACTGCCATTCATGCCAGTAATCTGACAGCCTGGATTTTCACCGCTAGTAGTTTCTCCCAAGCACTTTTATTTATTATTCTCTTGCATCAATCGCTTTGCATTTATCTACAGACTGCAGGTTGCAGCGTACATGTTTCTGCCTCAGGCGAGACCCTGGTCACGGCTCAAGTTTCCGAACGAAAGACGGGGTCACAGGACGAGGTTGTGGTTGATTGATATAGTCCAACTCACAATATCTGGATGATTACCAGCAAATAGGATATACAAACGTGTTAATAGATGCCTGGGGACTTTGAATTCTATAGTTATATCTTCACTCACTGTATCCCCACTTGATCCCAGGCGATTGTCTGCCCACCGCGGAAATCCCTTGCAGATTCCGTCCCCGGCTTCCTTGCTTCCGCTCTGGGGTACTCCGTAGATAGATCGGGACACCCACATCCCGAGCACGCACAACAGCCTGAAAGGAAGTCCTCGTTGCGGTTTGAACTTTTTCCTTGTTCACGTTTGGAAGGTATCTGCAATTGAACAAGAGCCGTATGATTAAATCAGGGTCTCGAATACTGACGAACCACTAGCCACAAAGGTTTGAACTCTATCAGGACGGAAGGACCTCGGGTCACATTGACTGCAACCTGCTGGCACTCCGGACCACCGTCTACTACGTACACCTATAGTTTGATCAGCAAAGTCGCAGTCATCATTTGCTGGTACAAGTCAACAATCCTTCACAATGACTAGGTCCAGTGACGATACGGTACCCAAGGAACTATGGCGACACTCGAGTCCTTGCAGTACCCAAATCTACGACTTCATCCAATCCGCCAATGCCAAGCATGGCCTGTCCATGTCCACTTACAACGATCTCTGGCAGTGGAGTGTCTCTGAGCCCGCCAAGTTCTGGGAGGATGTATGGAAATATACTTCCATCAAGGCCCATAAGTCATATGACCATGTGAGTATACGAATACGCTCTTTCGAAGCGCAACACAACGGCTGCTGTTAATGCTTGTCTCCTTTGATATATGATGGCTAATTTCCCTTATAGGTCCTGAGCACGGACGAACTACTCTTTCCTCGTCCCAACTTTTTCGAGGGGAGTAGGCTTAACTTTGCTGAGAACCTCCTGTATCCGTCTTCGTCTCCTGATGAGAACGCGGTTGCGATAATCGCTGCCACGGAAGCGGATCGGGAATTTGTGACCTGGAAGGAGCTGCGCGACCGCGTACGCAGATGTGCCAACTCGCTGAAACAGTCGGGTCTGCAGGAAGGAGACCGTGTGGCAGGGTTTCTTGGTAATCATACCAACACTGTTGTGGCGATGCTGGCAACGGCATCAATTGGCGCCTTCTGGACAGGCGTCTCACCTGATACTGGCGTACATGCAGTGCTAGAACGTCTCAAGCAAATAGAACCGAAGATCTTGTTCGCCGACAATGCATCTTTATACAACGGGAAGGTGCACGGGACCGATGCTAAATTGCGTGAACTCGTGCCGGGGCTGCCGAACCTGGAGTTTCTCGTCATATTCGAGACAATCCAGTCCTACAAACTGGACCCTCAATTCTTGGTACCACTACGTGGAAAGGTTCTTACCTACAAATCATTTCTTTCTACGGCCAGCAACCCTTCCGCCCCTCTGGAATTTGCAAGTCTGGGACCCGAACACCCGGTCTACATCTTGTATTCCTCGGGAACTACAGGGGCACCAAAGCCAATTGTCCATGGTGCGCTGGGAACGCTGCTGCAACATAAAAAGGAACATGTGCTTCACTGTGATCTTCGTCCCGGAGATCGCTTGTTCTACTTCACGACGACTACTTGGATGATGTGGCATTGGCTTGTTTCCGGTCTTGCCAGTGGCGCTACCATTGTGCTCTATGATGGTTCCCCTTTTCGGCCATTCGACCCGGAAGGTGGGAAGGGTGAAATGGCAATGCCACGCCTGATTGACGAATTGCAAATCACGCACTTCGGAACTTCTGCCAAATACCTTTCCATGTTAGAGCAGGCTTCCCTACATCCAACCAGTCACCCTCACCGTCCAGTAAGCTTGAAAACACTGAAAGCTATTTTCAGTACGGGTTCTCCATTAGCGCCGTCTACATTCGAGTACGTTTACTCATCTATCAAGGCTGATCTCATGCTGGGTTCGATCACCGGCGGGACCGATATCTTGTCGCTATTTTGCGGCAGTTGTCCCATCCTACCTGTCTACAAGGGAGAGATCCAGTGCCGCTGCTTGGGAATGGCTGTTTCGGTATACGATTACGCTGGCAATGACGTTTCTACTTCTGGTGAGGCCGGCGATCTGGTGTGTACGAAGCCATTTCCTGCGCAGCCTGTCATGTTCTGGCCTCCCGGTCCGACAGGAGCAGAGAAATACCGCAAGAGTTACTTTGACGTCTTCGGGCCGACAATCTGGCACCACGGTGATTTCGTGCGTCTGGAACCCCACACTGGAGGTGTAGTGATGCTGGGTCGCAGTGACGGAGTTCTGAAGCCAGCCGGTGTTCGGTTCGGTAGCGCAGAGATATACAACGTTCTTCTGAAACATTTCGCAGATGAGGTGGAAGATTCTCTGTGTATCGGGCGTCGGCGGGATGGAATTGACACCGATGAAACAGTCGTTCTTTTCGTGAAACTGGCATCGTCTGGTGACGCTCCAACAACCATGCCGCCTGACCTCGCAACTCGCATCCAAGCGACCATTCGCAAAGAGCTCAGCCCTCGTCATGTCCCTGGAATTGTGGACGTCTGCCCGGAGATTCCGGTGACATCCAACGGCAAGAAAGTTGAAAGCGCTGTGAAGCAGATCCTGTGCGGTCTCAACATCAAGATTGGTGCCAGTGTGGCCAATGCCTCGTGCCTTGACTGGTATCGCGCTTGGGCTGCGGCGCACCCATAGTTTCGTAGTAAGGTCTCCCTCAATAGATGGTCTGGGAAAAGCTTAGAGTGAAGCAGTATGCCAGGTCAAGATTGTTTGTTCACAGCCTATAGAACTAGATAATGAATTATTTCTTCTTCCAGTGGCGAGGTCAATGGTGTCTCTGCTTTGTCCGCATTACTCAATTTGCGATTCTAGATCTCCCATTACTAACCAGGTGCAAGTTGGAAATCACAGTTTTACCGATGACTCAGGCTCTGTAGGTACATAATACGTAGAAATAGGAGCGGGTAATTACAAGACAAACAATCCCAATTGGAAAACAATTCGTCAATCCAAAGACATCATATCCTGCTTCTTCTAACAGACAAGTCTGACGTCGTGCGCCGTGCCTGTGGTGATTAGATAAGCGATCTGAGTCCAAATCCTTGCGGGCGCCGGCGTGACGACGACATCTCCGGAAACGCCGCAGCTTTCACGCCGTCCGGGAAAGGGAGCGATTTTGAATTGAGTACTCTCGGCCCATTTCATCCATTCATATCTGTCAATATGCGCCGTTCTGTACTACGGGCCGTTGAGTCCGCAAAGCCTCTTGCCCGCGTGCCTCGTTCCGCGTCTAGAGGCTTTGCTACTGTCAATGAGAACGGTTCCAAGGTAAGTTCTTCCGATGCAGGGAATCTGACTTGATGGTTCTGGTCGGACTTGGGATTAATTCTAACTACTTGGTTTTTCACTGTGTAGGACCCTGCCGAGCTTGATCAGATCACCACTTTGCCCAACGGTATCCGCGTCGCTACGGAATCCCTGCCTGGGCCCTTCTCTGGTGTCGGAGTTTACGTCGATGCCGGATCTCGCTATGAAGATGAGAGTCTGCGGGGTGTGAGCCACATCATGGATCGTCTGGCTTTCAAGTCGACCAAGTCGCACACCAGTGATCAAATGCTTGAGGTTTTGGAGAGCCTTGGAGGAAATATCCAGTGCGCTTCCTCTCGTGAATCCTTGATGTACCAGTCTGCTAGTTTCAACTCCGCTGTCCCGACGACTCTGGGACTGTTGGCTGAGACTATCCGGGATCCTCTGATCACCGAAGAAGAAGTGCTTCAGCAGTTGGCTACGGCTGAGTATGAGATTGGAGAGATCTGGTCCAAGCCTGAGCTCATCTTGCCCGAACTGGTTCATACCGCGGCCTACAAGGACAACACACTGGGAAACCCTCTGCTTTGCCCGCATG